TCCGTAGGTACATGCACGTGTTATGTAGTACCTGTACCCTAGCTGACAGATGGTCTTTTCTCTAAGCCATCTTATGCATATTTAGAGTTTCTGAAATCCTAGTGCCGCCAGTAAACTCTTTTAAAATTGCCAGCTTTGGTATTGGACATTGTACAAAGAGCACACAAATGGGGTCTGAATCTCTTAAAAAGTATGCAATAATGCAGAAGGGACGGACAAAACAGGATTTTCAGCACTCTGAAGGAGTAAATGGGATTAAGGTCACTCCAAACTGTTCCTTATTTTTTGCATGTTTACTTGCATGTACACTGTACATGCATGTACAAGTAGGGTATTCCCCCAGCACAAGGGCCATATATCCCACTATATACATTTCAAACCAGTACATGTACATGTAATTCCACATGAATTTCACTTGCACGTGTATTGTGTATAAATGTACTGTACCAGTTGGGCACACAACCTCGGCTGACCCGTACCCTGTGTTCTTGAGTTTGAACTGCATGTATTTCATGATGTTTGCATGACCACGGAGTTGATGGGGAAAAGGTTTTTATATTGTAGTCCTCATTACACAGATATCCCAAGTGTTGCTGCATTAATCTGTCCATTTCTTCTCCATCTGCAATGTTTGCCATGGGGGGGCCGAGGTAATGCATTTAATGTCATTGCCAACAAAATCTGCCACTATGTTACCATGGAAATAAGAGCAAAACGTTATATTATATGGATGGAAATCTCACAGTGGGGAGATGGGGAGTTTGTGCAGGCCAGGCAACAGGAAATTGCACGAGTTGGCCGGTTGAGACAGTCAATCAAACCGAGTCATCTGGGGCTTGCAGTCTGAGGGTGAGTGACCACTGTGATCTCAGTCTATACGGCCTTCCCCCGGTGTGGCATGCGACTTGCTTCTCAACTTGTGTGGAGGATTTATTGATTTTGCTGGGTGCAGACTGTCTGTCAGTACGTCACTGTCGCCGACTCCGAGACAGGTGGGGGTGGAAAAACAGAACTGTTGTCAGAGTGCCTTTTGTGTACAGAGTCAACGCATCACTTTCTTGTGACAAGACTCAGAATTTATATTCTTTATACTCCCCGTACATTATTCCAACGCCTGACATGGAGGTTTTGTAGTTTGCTATTTCTTCTTGTTTCTGTGTGACCTAACATGAACCCTACCTTGTATTTACTTACGACAGACTTTGTTGACTTCACTGCTGACCTTGCATTCTGGAATGAAATGGTGATTTTTTTAGTTGTCGTGAGAGCTTTTGAAGGTTTTTATTCAGATTACTTTATTCAGATTTTATTCAGGTGGGGATACGATCTAGAGAGCTTTTTTTTTCTCACTATGCCTCCAGTTCAGCCCTTTATGTAACATTTTACTTTTGTTTTTCTTGGCAACCACCCAAAATCTTTTAAAATCCACCAGTGTAGGGCAAGTTCGAGCAGTGGACCACTTGTTGACCACTTGTGGATCTTCCCTGGTAACACATGCACAAAATAATGTCCCGAATACCAGCCAAGATCAACAGGTGGTTGAAAACAGAAAAGCTGTTGCGCAAAATTTGCCCATTATAGAGGTGGCACATTCTCAAGTGTCACTCAGCCCAATGCAAGTAGAAGTATGATGTACATGTTCCAGCACACGTCCCTTGCTCAGTATTCCTGTCGAAAGTCATCCAGAAATCATGTCCTGCATATTTGTGACACAGTCTGCAAAAAGGTGTATTAAGTCACACAATGCAAAAACTCGTAATGGCTTATTCCATGTGCCGAGGGTGAAAATATTTGGAAATGTTTTGAGGCCAATTGCTTGACTAGAAAGCATCTTCTGTTGCTAAGGAAAACCAAGAGAGTGTCTGATTTAAGTATGAGGTTTCTGTTCGTTATGTTTAAAAGGCATTATCTCAAAAAGCATGTGTGATAAAATGAAATTATATGAATATGCAAATGGCAAATAACTCCAAAATGCAAAGTGCCACTGGGATGAATTATATATTAAATGAAAGCAAGAGCTGGTCACATTGTATGGGTCTGAGCACTTTGGATGATTAAAAATTAGTTTTCCTTTGTTTTGTTCTTTTTGGGGAGTTTGTTTTTCTTGTTTTTATCAGGGGGATGTTTCAGGTTTTTGTTAATTCTTTTGTTTTTCTTTCTGTTTTTTTTTTTTTAGTAATGTGTGTCCACTTCCATGGTTAGTAATGTGAATAAAGCCATTACTGTTGCAAGGACATGTAGCGTATAATACAGAATGTCAAACACAACAAAAGAAATAAAAAATGGGTGGCTATCAAAAATGGTAATAATGACAGAAACACAGAAATACATAAACAAAAGATTTCGTCTAATTAAAAAACCTTTTGGATAAATCTAGCCCTTCAGATACGCATACTCATGTACATATTCATTATCTCCATTATTGACTGCAACAAAACCTTAAACAAATATTGAAAATATATGCATCTTCATGTGCACAGGTATATCTACGTAAAAGAGAGTTTGCAGGACTTGTGTTTCGCCGGCTTTAGATGTACCGGTAGCAATAAAAAAAATTCCAGAAGGCAACGACAAATTGAATATCCCATACATGGAGGATAATCTCATGAGCATCTCGCATGAGTTGCCTACAAATTCTTGCAGTCACTAGCGCCCGAGTCATGCATGCTCCTGGTACAGTAGTCCTGTGTAAACACTCTCCTGGCCTCTGCGTCCACACAGGTGTGCCCCACGTGTCGTTCCCGTTGTCGGAGTGTTTTGAAAATTGTCGGGGTACTGGTGTGTAGTTGGGGGAACCAAGGGGTTGATATGGGCATATGCTTGACATGCTAGAGCTCAACCGGAAACTAAAATTACACTTACTTGAACCTGTGCATGCACATCCATATATGGTTACATGTTGAGGGTATTATTTGTCCTTGGACATTGGGCTTTGAAGCTGTTAAGAACCTGATGAATGTAAACAGTGTCTGGTAAATTAATTCATTTAAGTCTTACAGTTTGGGAGATATGTTGCGTACATATAAATGTACAGTTTGCATTATGTACATGTATGATGATAGGTTGTTATGCAATTGAGGAAAATGTGAGTGTCCATTCCTGTAAAGCTTCTTGGGTATAAGAGAAATGGCGTATGTCGAGGCAATGCATCATCCGCACGCTGGTGTGACTTACAGACATAGACTTCTGTGTGGTACTTGATAACCTGTATGCGGTGGCGTAGCTAGGATTTTACTAGTCAGCTAGTGCGGGGGGCACAAAGGGGACACCAGCATCCTCTGGGGGGCACCAGCATCCTCTGGGGGGCACCAGCATCCTCTGGGGGGCACCAGCTTTCAATGGTGTGGTTTTTGGGGGCAAGTTTTTGTTAGGCTTGTTCAATATCCATTCATCCGTTTTTTTTTTCAGTGGACGGGGCACTTTGGGGGGCACCGGGAATGTGTGGGGAGGGCACGTGCCCCCCATGTCAGGCCCCCCATGGCTACTCCACTGCCTGTATGTAAGGAACATTCAAGTGGACGGTACCTACAGTAATCCATGTCAAATGGCACTTATATGTACATGTACTGACCTGTATGTCATGACATGGGCGCTCCAAAGCTATTGAGGCATGCGCGCCAAAGCTATTGAGGGCTGCGCGCCAACGCTATTGAGGAGTGCACGCCAAAGCTATTGAGGCATGCACGCCAAAGCTATTGAAGAGTGCACGCCAAAGCTACATGTGCGGTACCTATACATGTACATGTATACATTCTTTGGTACCAATTTGCTGCCTGTCAGTGTTCGATGCAGGTATCACTATTGTCAGCTTCATGTATGCGCTTGTGTTCACACATTACAGGAGGTGATCTGTCATTTCTTGAACCGATTGGTTTATGTATGTTCCCCAAACTACACATACCTTGGTTCAAGAATCCCGGGGATCACTTGCGGTTGAAATGTATAACACAACCTGACAAGATGAGTCACAAGACCCCAGAGCCACCTTTGAGTTAACGGCCTTTGGAAGAATTTTGCTGAGTGTAAATCAAAAGGGACTGTTGTCATTTTTGCACTCACATCATGATCTTTTTTGTCAGGATACTAAGCTGAGTGATACGTCAAAATAAACAGCTCAGTTTGCCCATTCTTACACAGTCTAAAATGAAATTTTCAAAAATTGGCCTGAAGACCGCTTTTATTGGGAACCAGTCACTTATTGTAGACTTGAGCTGTCAGGAGTTACAAAGATTTCCTTGTTTTTTTTTTTTTCCCTCTCCACCCCAGTAATCTCTTCAAACACCAGAAGTTGCTCTCCATCCTAGAGGGAGCCCCACCCCCAGCCGTGGTGGCTGTCAACATGAGGCGGGATGAGCCCAACGTGCCCGGTCTCTTGCGGGATGACGAGGGCGCCGGCTGGGACCCGCAGCTGAACTCGGGCAGCCTGGTGGTGTCGGACAACTGGAGCCTGGTCACCTTCCTGGCATTTGCCTCGGGTGTCCTGGTGCTGGGCTTCTTCGTCCACCTGTTGTGCCGCAGCCGACGGAAACGACAGAAGCCTGTCACATGGCGGAAAAGACCGGCAAAGCTGATGCGCAGGACAAGATACTCCAAGATTCCAGCTGTATAGCACTGCAGGGCACTTTTCTTGTACATAAAGTGTGAGATATTTTATATCATGATCGGTTCATAAAAGAAATTGTATTTGGTGCACACAGGACATTCAGGTGTGGTTCTACAAACCAGGCGCTTCTTCAGTGGCATCATTTCCATCTCATCGGTTCCCACCCATCAACTGCTCATGTGCTCCCAAAGCTTATTCCCTCCATACCCCTTCAGGGTACAACTGTTCAAGTGCTTACTCCATGTGAACTTGATACCCTGTCAGTGTCAATTTGTGGCTCGCTTCATACCAACCCGTCCTCTCGGTGTCCTGGCACTGCTCGCCCATCGTGGACTTCGTGACCAGTCATCGTCAGTGCGAGCATCCGGTGCTTACCCGATGTGCACTCGGTGCTCAGGCAACATACACACAATAATCACTCGAGCGTGACCCGGTGTTTCTGGTGCATGCCGAATTAATATGCACACAACAGCGCTTCATTGCACCTTGGACGTCGGCCTGACGCTCTACTAGTCCCCCCGCTAGACGGTCATTTATGTTCCAAGCTCTCACCTCCCAGAATTTCTAATGAACTTAATCAGTCACAGGTCAAGTGTTATTGCTCAGCAATCGAGCATTAGCCAGTAGTTACATGACAGCTAATTTATAGAAATGCACTCGAGTGACGGGTGGCGACAGGGTTAAAAAAAAATTATTAAAGCTGGATAAGGATAGTAGATAAGACTTGAAGCTTTGCATGGTGGAGATAGACTAAAGAGAGGGCTTGGGGTGACACCATGGGGTTAGATGTCTTCAGGAAGAGGTGTGATTCTGATAAGAACTGACCAGTGTGCTCTTCAGTCACTCCTCACTCCTGAGGATGACCGGAGCACACTAGTTGAAACGTTGAGTTCACACTTAACGGCTCTCATCAGAATCATGCCTCTTCCTGAAGAAATCTATCCACATGGTGTCACCACAAGCCCTCTCTTTATTCTATAAAAATAGTACTTCTAACATTGGTAGACTCTGTCTTTCTGCAGGAGAAAGGATTCTGTGTGGGGGGAAAAATAGAGATATTTCAGTTTAAATATCGTACGGATGTACCACTGTCTTTACGTTCTGGACTCTAGCCCTGATTGGGTGCTTGGTTCACTACTTAATGAATGTAAATGCAAATATGATATCAAGTGAGTTTTCTCATGCAACAATTTACTCTGTTTCAACAGTCCAATTCCCACTCTGCCCATCTGAAAATGACATCAATGACAAGTGATATTTTTGTGTTAAGATATTTACAAAAAATTTAAAGATTTTCAGTGGTCTCGTTGAAAAAAATGTCCCTGGATCTAGCTGATTTGATATATGCTTGCAAATATTTCAGAAATTTGCATTCAAAATATGTTTCAGCACCCAAGGTCCTGTTGACACATGCATGCAACAGAGAAGGACATGCATTGTTAGACCTGTCACAGACTGTTCATAGTGTTGCATTTTCGGTTGCCTCCAAGGTTTGTTAACTATTTTAATTAAAACTTTCGTAGGGGTTTGTATCAAATAACTTAATGTATATAAATGAACAGGCATCATTTATAAAGCCACTTAGTGTTTGATACTTTATCAGTTGGCGCGATTATTGATGCATGTGATTCAAGTAAAAGACAGTCTTGGGGTTTCTTTCTTTTTCGACGCGTTTGTTTCCTTCTCAACTCTATGATGTTTCCTTTTTAAATACCGGCCACTTTGTGTGGAGGTTTTTCAACAAATAAATTCCTTATGATTCTTTTAGGGGATGCAATTTCTCCGGTCGTTGATTTTCAAATGAAATTAGTGTCCCACGTACTTCTAGTTGTCTCTTCTCTGTTAGTAGCATAAATCATGCTTCAGTCCAGAAATCGGATTACAATTTCGATTTACTGGAGCTGATTATTGAGGGGGAAAATGGTTGTTAGCTGATCCTCGCGTGTGCTGTACTTAGTCAGACCATGGACCAACATTACAGCTGTTTCCGTGGTAAACCAAAGACAGGCAATCAATTTCGAATTCAGGAATTTTGGCGAGAAACACGCCAAGAGGAATACTTCTTTTTGGCAGCAAGGACTGTGGTCGTCATGTACGCGTGCGACTGCTGAATTAAAAGTAGCCATTTATTTGCATACGGACATACAACATGTACATCTAGGACCTTAATTGGCAACTCAAGAGTGCACTGGCTTGATACTATTACTAGAATAAAAAGCTGTTAGAAAAATTCCGGAGCACTTCGCAGAGGTGTGAAGTCTCAGCATAAAAAAATTAAGACTTCAAGATTTTTGCCTCTAAAACTTTGAAAGTTTAGAGTTTTAATCTTTCAAGTTTTGCTACCTTTTGTACTTTGTACCGTACACAAAACCAAAGCCGTGCAGGACTACCTAGCCCAGAACAGTCAGCGTATTCTTTAGCGTTGTCACCGTTACAACTCCTTTTGCCAGATGTGTTATAGATTACCTTTTCCCCAAGTTTTAATTTTTACGTATGCATTATGGTCTATTTCTTTTCCCCCCTGCTTTGGGTATTGACAAAATATTGTACTGCTGTTCTGTTCTACATAATCTCATCTGCTCTCAGCTGCACGACTAGCATACGAGTGTAAATATGACCTGTTATTTTTTATCTTAAGGTCAAACTTGAATTGTGACAGCTCTGCTCAGAGATAGAGGAAAAGATCGGGTCTGCGAGATTTGAATCATGGTAACTTGGGAATACTTGAGAGTGGATAAGTACATGCATATTAAGAAAAAAAATTTAAAAAGGGAGGGGCTGTCTGTCTAAAAAGTGTTCTCGTATTTTTCTTCCAGGGAATCTGTAGGTAAGAAGACTGTTGAACTCTAGAGCCATACGTTGTTTTCTGAGGAATTTCCGGGGGGGGAGGCCACTGTCTTCTCGAGGGTTGTAAAGGCTTACAGTGCGCTTTGTTGCCACCGCGTTTCCCGTGAAAATTGCCTCTGACTTAGCCCTGAGGCTTAAAAATCTTTTTTTAAATGTTTTTGACCTATTGTTTATTTATTCAGGTATCGTAACTTTGTGTATCTGTGGCACTCGGGATCTTCCCTAAGCCCAGATTATTCATGTTTTTTCCACCAAGATTTTTAACTGTCGTCATTCCGATCTCTGTGATGAGCTGCAGATTACTGAGAATAGGTTAAACTAACGCAAATGCCAATTATGCGGTTTCTCGAATTTGGCTTCCAAATTGTAGCCTGTTGAATGTGTTAGCACATTTTCTAACTTGGGAATAATGGTTGAAAGGCAGAACATTTTCTGAGTATTTTTCAAATTCCTTAGTACTGCACTTTTGTGGGGAATACTGGTGTTGTTTTCTTTTTTAAGTGTTAGCGAATTTTCAAAAGAGAAGGAATGTAAATGTGAATTGATATGTATATTTTTTTGCCCCTTTATATGAAACGAGAATAGAAAATAAATGAAAATTTACCATTAGGCATACATTAATGGTCTGCGAACTCTTGGTTATAGTCTTAGAATCTTCTCCATTTAAATCTTTGAAAAGCAAGTCATTGTGGGGGTTAAAACAACGACTACTTTTGTCTTCTGTCATACTTTTCCATCAGTTAAATCAGTCGTCTTTCACTTATTTGTTGGATACCAGTTTATCGAGGGATCGTCGGTGGACTACCACTGAAATATACCCGTCCCTATGTTCTTTATGTAATCAATGGAGCATTTTCAATCGGTCACCTTTCCAAAAAGTATCACTTAGACTGTAAAGAGGTTTTTTCTTTCCAATCAGCGGCAGATTTGTACCTTCTGCTCCACGGGTTCCCTTTTATAGTAGCTCTGACCAGGCTTGAGGAAGGGAGCTCTGGCCAGGCTTGAGGAAGGGAGCGTGCGGAAGGGGGATAGTTTGGGGAAGCATCGTAATGAGGGACAAAAATGTTCTTGCCTGGCTCTAGTTTGATAGAGCTCCTAGGAGTGTACACCAGTGGATTTAGCACAAAATATATTCGATAAGCAAAACGTAGGGTGGATCGGGGAGGGGGAGGACAGGGGCCATGCCCCCACTCCCGCCCACCCTACCTCCAAAAAAGCAGCCAAACATCTTCTTTTTTTTTGAAAAATACTGAGAGAGGGAGATGATTTTTTTGACGTATTTCATTCCTCTTCCTCCGCCTCACCCTCAGAAAGGCCAAAAAAGGTTACATGAAAAAATCCAAATGTGTTGCTCGCCCAGCCCATCCCACCCCCAAAATTGTTAACGCCCCACCTTGAGCGAAAATAGTTTACCAGTGAGAATGCTTGTTGTGCATCCTGCCCGAGTGTCTTCTGCTTAACTGCTCTCTGAAATCAGGCCCTGAATTCAAACTACATAGTTTCGAAAAGACTCCGATTCCAATCTATGCAACAGAAGTCATGAATTTGAATCCTGTTGGTGCGGTTGGACCTGGTACACCTGAATCCAGTGGTCATGGGTAAAGGAGTACTCTTATTTTCCAATAGAATCCGCCATTCGGTGCTCTTCTGTGATGCAACAACATCAGTAATTCGCTATCTTTAACATAATACTTCCGTAACATAAATGGCCTTGGTAGCGCTTCCATAAGTGCACTGTTATTTTGTAAAGCCTCTTACTCCTTAGTAACCCGTTGCCAGGACAACCGCTACCTTTCGTTTGCTCTTGTCAATATACCCATTCTTATTGCGTATATGCCCCTGTGTGTGGATGTACATGTTGTGTTCATCATTTTCTCTCAGCTCGGTGTCGAATTAGTGTCTGGCAGCATTTCTGTTCTTTGTTTCGTCTCCGAGTGAACGTTTTACTGGTTTTTAAAAATGAGATCGAGGGCTCGTCTTTTAAGTGGCCCAGATTTTTGTTCCAGTTTGAAAAGAGGAATTGGGTCTGCGGGTTTTTTTTTCTTGCTGTCGTGCAAGATTTCATCGCTTTTTTTCAAAGTCATGTCTGACGTTTGGTGGTTACTTACTTCATGTGTTTTTGATTAGCGACTATTTTGTTTCTTTCAATCATTGCCTCAATTGTGGGAGGAAGGTTCCTGAATTTGAAAGCGAAATCTTCACTAACAGAGGAAAAGGTCAGTACATCAACCCTTTTCCCCTTCTGACTGCCAAGTACACAGACAAGTATGGCGTTTGGTATCTGGCGCTCGGGAGAATAATTAAGTTATCAATTAATGCTCAAGGATGATTATGTGCAGAATTTACCCCATGAGCAATTGCTTGGACGAAATGTTCTTTGCCCATACACTGTGTATCCAGCGAAACGGTGACACGGCGAAGGCATATAGCTAATGCCATTATGGTCAACCGGGAAAGTGCAGTAATTAGATTGACGATAATTAAATCTATCAGGTCTAGGCCTTGTTCACTTAAAAAGGGGACATTCACATGGGCGTGGCAAGGAATTGGAAAATATGGGGTGGTGTTTGGAGGAAAGTTAACATTAAAAAGTTTTACTGCAAAATAATTATCCCCGCATGAAGTCTGCAGATTTTCACTGGTGTGCCGCCTTAACATTGTTTTGCGTTTATCTCCAATTTACAGCGAAGTTCTCCAGTGCCCGATTTTTCATAAAAACATGAAGTGTTTACACAGGCCTAGGCAAGGCACTTGGTCGTGCCTCTGCGTCGCCCGTGTGCGAGTATGGTATTATGGGTGAACGTGTACATGTAGGCCTATATGGGCATTTTGTCGTGCGCGCGTTTGTTGCCATTAAATCAAGCCGTGGTTACACTTGCTGACGATTAGAACTAATGATAAAATCCTTGACTAAATTGGTGGATATTGTGGTAATGAATTATGCCGCCCTGGAAAAAAATCAGTAATATTATAGTTAATGTTAGGACCAGTGATGACTACGGTATTCATCGTGGGGTTTGAATTATTTGAGTTTTAGGCAATGAATCGTAGCGTAGCAACATAGGTTAACGTATAAATCCGACTAGGGGACCGAAATCTCTTATCACCATTCTCTTTTCCTCCGCCATCCATTTAATCACCTAAAACTCATTTAATTCAAGTGAAGCGACAGGAACTCTTAAAAAATGAAAGACGCACATCCGACACTGAATTTTGAAAGTCTGAAGAATCGACAAGATGTTTAATTTCGCCCAAACAACAGCGAAAAGGCAACTGGTACAAGTGTTGTTTCTCAGGAAACACAGCCCTTTTCTGTCAATAGTTGAAAAAGGTGGAGGATTTAAAATCGTTGATCTACACTGGTTTTTACCTCGTCCTGGGACGCAACTGCTGATGTACTTGCTTTACATGTTTTCTACACCGACAGGCCCGTGTACACAAGGTAGGCCTACGCGTGCCGCAGCACGGCAAAAAAGTAGTGCATGTTTATGTCGCCTGCCGAAGGGCGCCAGAGTGATTATTTCGAATTCGGTACATACCCGTCCACTGTCTGGTTCATTCTTCAGTGCCAGTGTTGGGGGGGGGGGTTTACATGCAGTCGTGACGGAATGTTGCATGTTACCTCTGTTTGTAAGTGAATTCCGATTTTTTTTTCTTGTGCACACGGACCTTTCACATCAGTTTCGTATCGTGCCTTTGTCACTGGTGACACAAATCAATCCAATATACTGTAGTTTACAAGTCGAATACGTAAGCGTCAATTATTTAGCAAAAAAGTACATGTAAGTTGTAATATCATACAATCACTCGTAAAAATACACTGATTCATTTTATATCCCCAACTCTTCTTCATTGAGGAAATACTGCACCAGCAGTCAACATAACTGAACGCCGTTAAACACCTCCATTTTTACGAGCACACTACAGTACGTCCAAACTTGAACGAGTGTAAGTTACATGTGGGTCTTCAATGTACAACTCTCTGACGACATAATGTTAAACTTTGCCTGTGGGTTGTAAATACCTTTGTCCCTGTTCACAACTTTCCTCGGAGAAAAGATAAATACAGTCGACTCTCATTAGAAAGAACACTCTTATAACAAACTACTTTCATAAAGAGTAAATTCTGAGAATCCCAGTTTCATGAATTGGTTTTCTTTGTTTTTCCACTCTTTTATTATCAAATTCCAGGTCATAACAAAGACATTTGTCTGACTCCTTCAACTTTGTGAAAACGAGAGTTGACTGCACTTTGACGTTTAATTGTTTATGGTGCAATATTGGTGAACAGGGTTCAATTGTGGAATTCTGGGTATCGGCGAACGGTTGAGTTATACAGTTGATTTCCGCGCTTCTTTCTGCGACCCAGAATCTTATTTCTTGTGCCTTTAATATTCCAATTCCAAGGTTACTCTCACCGTGATCTAATCATCAAAATCTCACCGAGAGCAGTCAGTTTGACTCGTCATCAAGAGCTGCCTAGTGACAGGCTTAATAATACTGGATAAATAAGTGAATCAAAGCAATGTTCTGACTTCGAACAAACCTCTCCTCGACACAAAGTAAGACAACATTTCTTTTGCAGGGACCTAATACTGTGTAGCATTCTGCTTGAATGTTGATGAAGAGAGCCAGGGAGGCTCAAAAATAAATATCAAAACACGAAGAAAGCCACTCTAAAGAGTGCGTTTCTTGAATAACCGAAGGACGAAAATGATCGTGTTGAATATGCTCAGTTGCGGGCAACGTACATGAAGTACAAAGTTCTTTTGGTTTGAAGACGAAGTGTAGGCGATCGGCTTGACGTTATGTAATCTGCCTCGACACCTCAAAGATGAGTTGTCTGTGGCTGTCTGTGTAAATTGATTTTGATTTCTTGCATTAGTAGTATTTCATGCTAGCTGTCGTGTCTGTTTTGCTTGATTGAAACTGCTCAAGGTATTTTTTGAAAACAATTTGTGACAGATCGCAGTAAACTAAAACTAAAATAGTAAAGATAGACAACAGACTCCAAAAAGCTTCAAACACATAGTCGTGCAGTAAACATCAAAACAGTGCCAACGGTATCAAATATATATCAAAGAAACATGAAAAAGAGAAATTTACCGCATTTTCTGTAAAGGCTTCATGAAAGAAGAACCATTAAATCAAAAAATAGGAATGTACTTGATTAAATGCAGCGCGGATTACATCATGACATCCTTAATAAAGGTCATGTTTCCTTTTTCCAATCTAAATGTTGCTAAGACGATGTTTAAAAAGATCAGACGCTCAATAATGCATAGAAAAGCAGAACGAGTTATCTACGTGAAGATGAATCCAGTGTTCTTTAGCCACGCAAACTTCTTACAATCATAATGCGTTAGGCGCACTTTCACAATAAAATGCTTACTTAATGTAAGACAATGTATATTCTTCTCAATGTTAAGATCAGTTTTTTACACACGTTATTGATGCTCACATGATTGTAATACGCTACCTTTTTTTACGAAAACTTGAAAACCATTCTTACCATCAGATTTAGTCAAAGCTATAAGTTATTTCGTTATATAATATATGTAAGTCGAAGGCATGGTGCTATATATAGCTACTTTAAGTGAGTGTGATAATATACCGTAAGTGCAGCTATCATCTATTTTAGTTCTATCAATGATTCCTAGTAGTCTAAAAGGAATCGGCAAAAATGACGGTTAAAAGGGGGAAATTGGTTAAAAGCCAAAAGTTGACTATGCATCATCTGACGTCACGCCAAGAAACATCTTCAGTTCGTTCTCCGAGATCACGTTGTCTTTGTCCTTGTCCACCGTGGTCATGATGTCTGTGGCAATTTTGTCTAACGTACTCTCCACCACTGGCCCCTGAGCATGAACAAAGTATAAACGCTATAGTTCGAAAACGAGCTTCATTAAAATAGCCGTTCAGGATTTAGCTCACCACATAGGACGTGCATGTGCATAGATGAAAATAACATTGATAAACGAAGGAGCAGAATGACGTTCGGAGAAAGAAGCACGCGTGAGTGCATTTTAATGAAAACCACATTATCTCATGCAGCTCCCAAGAGCTACTCTAGTGACTAAGCGCACCTGAGGGCCAAGCAAAATGTTACTATTCACCTTATAAATTGAATTTATACGAACCATTATAGTGATTAGTTGGCGTGGTAATCGCAGCATTAATTTTCGATGATCGAGGTTCTATGCATTTTAAACAGCATGGGTTCTTGAGAACATTGTCAGTGCGAAATTATTAGCGATCGAAGCATCAGGATCAAATCGGTCTTACCGATCCGGCGTGTAAAATAACCAGGTCCTTGAGGAATGCAGACAGTTCCTCTCCACTGATGACGTTGTTCTGATCCTGTCGACAAAACCGCCCATGATGAAACAAATTCAGCATATTTTTTCTACCTTCAAAATAATGGTACTACGGTGGCTTTTAACCCTTTCTTCGTTCTCGTTACAGGCTGGCTTAACTCGTGCCAAAACCTCGCTTTTCGGCTGAACAGAGCACTGCACTCATTTCAGTATTGCTGGACCGCGAGTTGTCAATTGTCTTTGCGCTAAGATAAGGACGCATGTGTCCTACATGATACTCCGGGGAGGTTTTGCAGGTACTGTGAGGTATGATGTGGAACATCTAAGGGCACGTTCGATCAAGGACCACAGTTAACCATGATAGTTCGAATAACTCTGATCAAACGCACACTAGTCGACGATGGTTGGACTAGTCTAGTCAACTATTCGCGACCAGCCTATCGAGGTTGGTCGCATCGTTGTTGCCTTATATCGTTTTGCAAAGCACAGTGCAGAAAGGACCAGTAAAAGAAATGCCAGGAAAACAGTATGTCACTGGTAAACGACCGTTTTCTGTTTTATTTTCGCTATTTTGCCCTTCCCGCGGCCACCTTTTCTCCCCTTCCGCCCAGCGACCTGACAGCGGTTGACTAGGGTCGTTTGCACTTCAACTTCACTGCACATGCGCTAGGTACGTCACGAACCAACCACTAGTTAACGTGTGGTCCTTGATCGAACTTGCCCTAATATAACCTCACAAGTACCGGTGCACTATACTTCACGAGTCTGTTTATTAGAGGCAACTTTAATGCCAACATCATTTTATGTGCCCACTATTTACTGAGGGAATACTATTGAACATAATACAATGTGAATACCGGCATACGATAAATTAAATTGCCTCCGGGGTAGCCGATATTTAAACGGAAGCATTCATTTTCCCGAGGATTTTGGACGTGAACCTAGAATTGTTATCGTTACATTTGGGAATGATAACAACTTGAAATGTTACAGAGATAAGTGGGAAGGGAAAACCAACAACTTCACGACAGTGAACGGGCGCAGTGTATCTCTACTATTTTGTCACCGCTGGGGCTTTGGTCTGAAATAACTATCTCTGTCTGATGAAGTTTTAAAACAAAATCCATAGAAATTATTAACCTTACCTTGTCATAGTGCTTAAAAACTCTCTTGAATTCCTCGCTGGACACTTTCAACTTCTTCTGTTTGGAAAGAAAGGCAAAACTAAACTTTGAAAACTGAGTCAATGAAGAGTTGGGAATGGAAAAATAAGGAAGAAAAGATATGAAAGGATAGACAAGCGATTCTTAAGACTAATGAATTCAGCAGCTTATGTTTATTTCATTTTGACCCTCCTCGGACGTTTTTTGTAGTATTTTTTATCTTTACCCGATAGTAGCAATCACCCATTCTGTGTCGTGACTTGTAACAATGGCCAATTCTATACCATTACTGGATAGTAGCAATTACCTATTCTATATCGTTTTACCCGATAGTAGCAATCACCCATTCTGTGTCGTGACTTGTAACAATGGCCCGTTCTATACCATTACTGGATAATAGCAATTGCCTATTCTATATCGTTTTACCCGATAGTAGTAATCACCCATTCTTTGCGGTGACTTGTAACAGTGTCCATTCCATACCTTACTGGATAGTAACAATTGCCTATTCTATATCGTTTTACCCGATAGTAGTAATCACCCATTCTTTGTGGTGACTTGTAACAGTGTCCATTCTATACCTTACTGGATAGTAACAATTGCCTATTCTATATCGTTTTACCCGATAGTAGTAATCACCCATTCTTTGCGGTGACTTGTAACAATGGCCCATTCTATACCATTACTTGGTAGTAGCAATTGCCTATTCTATATCGTTTTACCCGATAGTAGCAATCACCCATTCTTTGTGGTGACTTGTAACAATGGCCCATTCTATACCATTCCTGGATAGTAACAATTGCCTATTCTATATCGTTTTACCCGATAGTAGCAATCACCCATTCTTTGTCGTGACTTGTAACAATGGCCCATTCTATACCATTACTGAATAGTAGCAATTGCCTATTCTATATCGTTTTACCCGATAATAGCAATCACCCATTCTTTGCGGTGACTTGTAACAGTGGCCCATTCTATACCATTACTGGATAGTACCAATTGCCGATTCTATATCGTTTTACCCGATAGTAGCAATCACCCATTCTTTGTGGTGACTTGTAACAGTGGCCTATTCTATACCATTACTGGAAAGTAACAATTGCCCTTCTATATTGTTATACCTGATAGTAACAATTCCCCATTCTATGTCGTTTGTTATTTGATAGTAGCAATTGCCCACTCAATGAATTGAGTACAGGTATTACAGGATAAAACAAATCACTCAACTAATTTGTCATCAAAAGTTTTGAAAGTAACTTTGAATTAGCTCATGGGCAAAGGACACTTTGGGTTACTTTTGATGGACCATTTCTTGAGGTTTGGAAAGGACAGTAGCAAGTGAATTGCAAACACACTCGGATGCATTTGTGCCGTGATAGAGACATGCATATACCAAAAAGGGGTCGAGGATGGTTCGTCTTGAAGGAGTGATATCGCTGATGACAGTGAGAGAGCGGGAGAAGACCGTACACGATGTATACTTCCCCGAGGTTGTTTTTCCTCCTACCAAGTGCAAATAATCACCCATTCCCTACAGAGTCCCTTACAGGCCATATCGTAACGATCAGATTTCACTTACCACGACAGCGAGGACGGACAATATAGAGAATGAGGTGCATAATAACATCGTGAGGTCGTGTTTATCTACGTTGCTCCCGAAGGGACAACCCTGTTCCACCATTCTCCGTTGGGAAGAAATTTTAAGAGGGGAAGGGCCAGAGGCGAATAAAGGCCTCCACGTATAGCCATGCACCTATCTAGCCTCGGGGCCTGTAGTGCTTTAGTTGTGAGTTGCTGCTCATGCTGTGGTTTTTAAAGTGGTCCATTATGGAGTTTGTTGTAATGTGCAATCAAACAGCCATGTGATTGTTAATGTTCATCGAAGAGGGCTTTCCACTTCTACAAAGTCAACTACGTCATGTATATATCAAAGTATTTAAAAATCGTTCGATATAGAAAGGGAGATACCAAACATGTTACATCACTGGGATACATGCAAAATGATGCAGCATGGGGGAAATCAACACGAAAATTTGAGCAAAGAAGAGAAGAAGGAGTAGTGATGGCGTATGAAAACTTAATGCAAGCAGGCTTTCTGAAAAATGAAAAGAACATGATAAAAAAAGAGACAAAAATCGTTCAAGTGGCTACGATACTTCGGGCACAAGATACCATGTACAGCATCCTGGGTGCAGACGTCACTGTTTCCCCGTACCTGTCCGATCATTATTGCCTGGCTGTAAATCCTCATCACAAAAAGACCAGCTCTGTCGACAGGTTCTCTCGGCAGCGATTTCTATTTCTCTCTTCAACTGACAAAAATACTAATTGATCAACTGAAACCACCATCTTAACCTAGAATGCGTCAATGGCTCGCTCGTGGGAAGTCGGTTTCAATCTCCCGAGAATGTATTGGCGAGAATGTGTTTTGTGCGATAGGACACCGACCGCACAAAATCGGGTCGAGAGCGACCAGCGCAGATACTGAATTTTTCGTGTTACAAGGTAGCTCCAGAGTCACTACGGCAGTGTGTTGCTGCCAAAGCGAAAAAAACTTTATCTCGTATAAACGATATGGTTATGTCGTTTTAAACGACTTAGTTGTCTCGTTTAAACAAGATACATGTATCTACATGTTTGTCGCTTAAACGAGATTCTAAGTTGTTTAAACGAGATAGCTTTAAACGAGATAACTATGTCGTTTAAACGAGATTACTATGTCGTTTAATGAGATAATAAGTCATTTCAAGGAGATAACTCGTTTAAACGAGATAAAATAAATTTTTCGCGTTGGAAGCAATATGCTTCCGTAGTCCACCATGCGTAACCACTGTACATCTTCAAACTGAATAACTACACAGACAAGCGTGTAAAATACAGTTTATTTGTCTCTTACACGTGCCGAAGAAGGTTTGGAGCGCTCAGACCGATCCCGCTGCCGACAGGTTCCGATGGCTGTACTGACAAGGTACTGCTCGTGCCATTACAAGCGATGGCTTCCTATTTTGTTCTTAATTATTTTTCTCGTCAAGCGTCCACGACAAAGACCTTACATCACACAATCCTCAACGTGACAAACACTTCTTTTTTTCGGATGCAGCGAAGCCGTCAGTCGTGGTGGTTTTATCAATGTATTTTTGTCACCATGCACTGAAATTTGATATTTTTCAGGAGGGTAGTCTGCATGATGCATGCGGGAAAAGTAACAAGGGAGACACTTGAAACCGCCACCTTTGGAAAACGTGAGCGTGAAATTTACAGGCCTTGCCCACTCCACAGATGGTGAAGTTCGCTGCCAAAAATGACAGAATGAGAAGAAAAATGCTAGGAATATGTGCAAAACTTCAAAACTCAAAAATGTCGAGCACAAGGTATCCTGTACCCAAAGTATTCGGATTGTGTATGCCGGCCCATTGGTGAACTACCTTATGTACTTACGCCTTTGTCTCCCAGAGATCCCTGCGAGTTTGATACAAATGATAGAGCCAGACGAGAAAAAGTTGGGATTGAAAAAAAAGAGAGAGAATCATAAGCGATTGGTGTCTGGCAGAATCCAACATGCGAAGTGAATCATTTGCAATGCTTCTGCAGTGTCATGTGTGTCCCAGATGGAACGCTCGCAGTTTGCCACTCGCAAGCCTCAGTTTCTGGTCAAACATTTTACGTCTTTTTCTTGCATATGATGATGTATTTTCGATGAGGTTATAAGCATGCATCGTTTGGGACATGTGCTCGCATGCATGCACATGTTCAACACATCACATGTACA